TGAGAATCTTTGTCTTCTTGACGTTGAGCCTCAATCCATACTGAAGGCTGCAGTCCTTGACCCTCTGCAGCAAGCATTTCAGGTCCTCCTCAGTTTCAGCAAGCAGGAGGGAAATGGGATTTCTTGTGGGGGATAAATGGAACAAATGCTTGTCCCAATCATGGTGGGACTGCTGTTCACTTTCTAAAAGTATAGGTGGTGGTTGTTTACTCTTGAGTCAAGCACAACTCAGCGACCCTATGAACAAAAGACCTGAAGCCTTTCTTTAACTATTGTCGTTTCTCAAAGTCCATAGAGTTTCCAGAGGCATGTTGGATGCCACTCCTGCTTCCAAACCTGTCTTAAAACTGGGAGTGCCACCAAACACTGTCCACCATGGGTAACTACTATGGCATTAGACACCCCAATGGCACAAGGTTCGATATCACAGTAACCCCAGGTTACCTCACTACAGCCAATGTTCCTGTAAAACATAATAACAACAGACTTTTAAATACAAAGACCCTCCCCAGGTCTTGTTGACTCTAAACAAAAGGTTTAAAAAAAAAACACAACCAATATAATATGTTGTTGTTTTGTGCCGAGACACCTGCAGCCCATAGCGACCTTATGTACTGCAGCTCTGAAGTCTGCCCTGTCCTGAGTTTCACTAAATCCAACACACCAACTCCTATTGCCCCAGTTACTGTATCAATCCATCTCATTAGGGGTCTTCCTGTTCTGCACTGTCCCTCCAACCTTCTGAGCATGATGTCCTTCTCCAAGGATCAGTCTGTCTTGGCCACGTGCCCAAAGTATGTGAGACAGAACTTTCAAATCCTAGCCTTCAAGGAGAGACTTGGTTTCACCTCTCGATATTATGGACCGCTAATAAAAGAACAGGTTCCATCTAGAGAGAGTTAAACCAGGCTGCTTCTTGGGGGCAAGGATTCTGAAGCTTCATCTGACATACTTTGGACATGTTGCGAGGAGGCACCAGTCCTTAGAGAGGGACATCATGCTTGGGAGGGTGGAGGGACAACACAGGAGAGGAAGATCCTCTATGAGGTGGATTGATTCAAGGACTGGGATAATGGGGATTGGTGTGTTGGAGACAGTGAGATTGACACAGAATAGTGCAGGGTTTAGGGCTGCTGTACAGAGTCACTATGAGTTGCAGGTGACTCGATGGCACATTACAACAAAACAGACCTATTTTTTTTTTTTGTGGTGGTTCAAGACTCAGTAGAGGGTCAAAATAAAAGGAGGAAGACCCTCAATGAGATGAGTTGATACAGTGGTTGCAACCATAGATTTGAACATAGAATTAATTGTAAAAGTAGCTCAGAAGTAGTTTTGTTCTGCTGTACACAGAGTCCTGTGAAACTAAACAGGCAGGACAGCACCTAAGAGCAACAGCAGTTAAACATTCGCACTTAGATACAGAATCAGCATGTCGACATGAACATTTGATTACACTTGATCCTGCTCATCTAGACAGTTGAGCTGCAGGGCTACATGATTTAAAGAGCAGGAAAGGGCTCATCCTGGCACAAGAACTTTCCAGATTTATTCGAAAACAAAAATTACAGGAGCTCAGCATTTTTTACTGTGTGGTATTAGGGAATAGAAAAAAAAAAGCGAATCCTCATAAAACATCACATCCCATAAATACAAGGTTCTGATTTGAAATTTAACAAGATTTTAGATCAAATCAAATAACTACCACTCCCTACAACACATTTCTATAATCTTGAAATGAGAAAAATTATGCCCCAAGTCATACAAAAAAAACAAAAGGGTGTTACAGTATCACTGTTAGGCTTGAAGTTCATGAGGTGTTTATTGATGGTTTGGACAGATTATGTTTTATGAAAATGTAACTGAGAGAAGTTGGTTACTTCTGGGGGAGGGGTAAGTGGAGGTGATAGGGCAAAGGGGATTGGAGACTATAATAGAGGATATTCTCCACTTTTTAGTCTCTCTTTAAGAAGGTTGGTAGGGCAGGCTGCTAACTAAAAGAATTGGAGGTTCAAATACACTTAGTTACTTTGCAGAAGAAAGATTTGGCAACCTGATGTTGGAACGATTACAGCCTAGAAAACCCCGTGAGATGGATGTATTCTATCCATTCAAGGACACCTAACCATAAGAACAGTAGCTATAAAACAATGTCCTCTTAATGAAAAACAAACCACCACCATGCATTCATGTATCACTTGCATAATTAATATAGAAATAAAAATAACAACACATGGTCCCAGTTTAAATTGTCCCCACCATCCTTAAGATCATCCTCTCTGTTCTCAAGCAGACTTAAAAATCCTAAATTTCTGACGAATGCCCAGAGTCATGCTGCCATAGTGGGTTATACGCTGTGTTGCTAACTGGCTGATGGTTCGAATCCACAAGCTGTCTATGGCAGAAAGATGAGGCAGTCTATTCCTGGTGAGATTTACAGCTTCAAAAACCCAGGACCACCATGAGCCAGAAGAAACTCCACGCCAGTGGACTTGGGTTCTGGTTCTTGTTGCCAGTATTACATTGCCTCCTCACCATGCAAGGGAAAGTTCTTACCTTGAACTTCTCCCTTTTCAAGCTAGTAAGAGTCTTGGCTAGTTAATATTCTTATTTGCAGTAGAATAAATTGCCATTATATGGCCCTTTTAGCTTAAGTCTTGTAAGTCCCAAAAAACTATTGGATGGACTACACAAATACACCAAATGCAACCAGGGTACATGAAAGTTTTGTTCAGGGTTGGTCAGTCCTGCATTTTACTGAACCTAAAAAGAAGGGGCACTGGTGATGTGATGTCCAGGGAGTCATGCTGCCCACCTAAAGACTAGGCCTCACGGGCCAGTCAAATCCACCAGAAACTCCACGGGAGAAAGATGGACAATCTCGTCCTATACAATCCACCACCTCAGAAACCCAGTGGAGGATCAGCTACAAATTGGTTTTGTCTCAGTAGTAATGAGTGACCAGCAGTGAGCACGAGAGAGGCCTATATAGAACCAGTGTCTGAGTTGGAAGGGGATTTCACCACCATCAGGAATAACCGGGACTGGAATATGGCCTTTAGTACCAGGGCCCCTGCACTGAAAACTTTCTAGACCCAGGAGACAGAGAGAGCTGTAACCCTGGAGATGGTAAAAAGTAGAGGCAAGCAGAACAGAGTCCATTGGCAGTGATATCAGGAGACCAGCACAAGACAGCAGAGGGGGCTTCCCAGTGCACCAAGCAAGGCAGTTACAGTTGGCATGGCCACTCCCAGCACGAGAGAGCTCAGGGCCTTGCAGCAGAAGACTTCTCGTGGAGTGGTTGCCTCTAGGCACTTCCTGGCAGGGCTAACATATGGCAACATATACCCGAGCAGAGCCAGGTACCAGAGGCCTGTCTGAAAGCACAACCAGAAAGATGCTGTTCTCATCAAAGAACTGTATCCTGAGTCATGCTTGCTACTTCCAGGCTGATTCTATCATGGATTTTAACTACTTCACTTGTAAGCCTCACAATTGAGAGTATGGTCTGTGAGTTTGGGTGAATACTGCAATGAATTTTCAAACACAGCAGAGAAATATTAAGTGCCGTGGTGGTAAGTCAAGTTGGTGTAAGAATGGGACAAAAAATGAGTTGGAGGATGGAGCTGTGCCTGGCCTCCCACCTCATGGAAATTGGCTTTAGGCTAAAGGCGCTGATGGTGATTCTTCTGCCTTGTGCTGCAGGTAGACAAGGATGTCTGATGCCATTTTCACATTAGTTACGTGAGGCCACCAGAGCTCTCAGAAAATCCAGCCATGCGTTCATTAGACCAGTATCTGCTGAGCTCCTACGATAAGCTAGATGTCGTGTTAGTAATGTCTAATTTAGAGCACGCAGGCAAGATACTTGTCATCATGAGGTCTGCTTTTAACCGAAGTGGGTGTGTTATTCACGGTGGTGGTGGTTGTGGTTCAGTGCCGTTGCATCGGCTCTGATTCCTAGTGACCAGAGGTCCAACAAAGCGAATCACCGTCTGCTCCTTCACCGTCCTCACGTCACTGATGCACTTGAACTCAGTGT